TTATAGCAATACAATCTTACCTTGCGAAACAGGAAAAATCTCAAACAACCTAACCTTATAACTAAAGAAACTAGAGAAAGAAGAACAAACCCCAAAGTTAGTAGAAGGAAAGAAATCATAAAGATCACAAAAGAAATAAATGAAATAGAGATGAAGAAAACAGTAGAAAAGATCAATGAAACTAAAAGCTGGTTCTTTGAAAAGATAAACAAAATTGATAAACCTTTAGTGAGACTCATTAAGAAAAAAGGGAAAGGGCTCAAATCAATAAAATTAGAAATGAAAAAGGAGAAGTTACAACTGACATCATAGGTATATAAAAGATCACAAGAGACTGCTATAAGCAGTTATATGCCAAGAAAATGGACAACCTAAAAGAAATAAACAAATTCTTAGAAAGGTACAACTTCTAAGACTGAACCAGGAAGAAGCAGAAAATATGAATAGAATAATCACAAGTACTGAAATTGAAACTGTGATTTAAAAACTTGCAACAAACAAAAGCCCAGGGCCAGATGGCCTGACAGGTGAATTCTATCAAACATTTAGAGACGAGTTAACACCTATACATCTGAAACTATTCCAAAAAATTGCAAAGGAAGTGACACTCCCAGACTCATGCTATGAGGCCACCATCACCCTGATACCAAAATCAGACAAAAAAAGAAAATTACAAGTCAGAATCACTGATGAACACAGATACAGAAATCCTCAACAAAATACTAGCAAATTGAATTTAACAGTACATGAAAAGGATTATACACCATGATCAAGTGGGATTTATCCCAGGGATGCCGGGATTATTCAGTATCTGCAAATCAATCAGTGTGATACACCACATTAACAAACTGAAGAGTAAAAACCATATGATCATCTCAATAGATGCAGAAAAAGCTTTTGACAAAATCCAGCACCACCCATTTATGATAAAAACTCTCTAGAAAGTGGGCATGGAGGGAACATACCTCAACATAATAAAGGCCTTATATGACAAACACACAGCTAACATCATACTCAGTGGTGAAAAGCTGAAAGCATTTCCTCCAAGATCAGGAACAAGACAAGAATGTCCACTCTCACCACTTTTATTCAACATAGTTTTGGAAGTCCTAGCCATAGGAATCAGAGAAGCAGAAGAAATAAAAGGAATCCAAATTGGAAAAGAAGTAAAACTGTAACTTTTTGCAGATGACATGATACTATATATAGAAAATCCTAAAGATGCTACCAGAAAACTACTAGAGCTTATCAAGGAACTCAGTAAGGTTGCAGGATAAAAAATTAATGCACAGAAATATCTTGCATTTCTATACACTAACAATGAAAATCAGAAAGAGAAATTAAGGAAACAATCCCATTTACTATCACATCAAAAAGAATAAAATACCTAGGAAAAAACTTACCTAAGGAGGCAAAAGACCTGTACTCTGAAAACTGTAAGACACTGATGAAGGAAATCAAAGATGACACAAACAGATGGAAAGATATACCATGTTCTTGGATTGAAAGAATCAATATTGTCAAAATGAATATACTACCCAAGGCAATCTACAGATTCAATGCAATCCCTATCAAATTACCAATGGCATTCTTCACAGAACTAGAAAAAAAAATTTCAGAACTTGTATGGAAACACAAAAGACTCTAAATAGCCAAAGTAATCCTGAAAGGAAAAATGGAGCTGGAGGAATCAGGCTCCCTGACTTCAAACTATACTACAAAGCTACAGTAATCAAAACAGAATGGTACAGGCACAAAGACAGAAATATAGCTCAATGGAACAGGACAGAAAGCCCAGAAATAAACTTACACACCTATGGTCAATTAATCTATGACAGAAGCAAGAATATTTAATGGAGAAAAGACAGTCTCTTCAATAAGTGGTGCTGGGAAAACTGGACAGCTACACGTAAAAGAATGAAATTAGAACATTCTCTAACACCATATACAAAAATAAACTCAAAATGGATTAAAGACCTAAATGTATGACCAGATTCTATAAAACTCTTAGAGGAAAACATAGGCAGAACACTCTGACATAAATTGCAGCAATATCTTTTTGGATCCACCTCCTAGAGTAATGAAAATAAAATAAAAAATAAACAAATGTGACCTTAAAATAAAACGGGACCTAAAAATAAACTTAAAAGCTTTTCAGTGCAAAGAGAAACCATAAACAAAACAAAAACACAACCTACAGAATGGAATAAAAACATTTGCAAATGAAGCGACCGACAAGGAACTAATCTCTAAAACAAACAGCTCATGCAGCTCTATATCAAAAAAAAAAAAAAAACCCAATCAAAAAGTGGGCAGAAGATCTAAACAGACATTTCGCCAAAGAAGACATACAGATGGCCAAAAGGCACAAGAGAAAATGTTCCACATCGCTAATTATTAGAGAAATGTAAGTCAAAACTACAGTGAGGTATCACCTCACACCAGTCAGGATGGCCATCATCAAAAAGTCTACAAACAATAAATGCTGGAGAGGGTGTGGAGAAAAGGGAACCCTCCTACACTGTTGGTGGGAATGTAAATTGGTACAGCCACTATGGAGAAAGGTAAGGAGGCTCCTTAAAAGAGTAATAATAGAGCTACCACATGATCCAGCAATCCCACTCCTGGGCATATACAGAGAAAAAACATAATTTGAAATGACATATGCACCCCAATGTTCAATGCAGCAGTATTTACAATAGCCAAGACATGGGATCAACCTAAATGTCCAACAACAGATGAATGGATAAAGAAGCTGTGGTATATATACACAATGGAATATTACTCAGCAATAAAAAAGAATGGTATAATGCCATTTGCAGCAACATGGGACCTAGAGATTATCATACTAAGTGAAATAAGTCAGATACAGAAAGACAGATATCATATAATATCACTTATATGTGAAATGTAAAAAGATGATACAAATGAACTTATTTACAAAACAGAAACAGACTCACAGACTTCGAAAACAAACTTATGGTTACCAAAGGGGAAAGGTGGGAGGGATAAATTAGGAGCTTGGGATTAACATATATACACTACTATATATAAAATAGATAATCAACAAGGACCTACTGCATAGCACAGGGAACTATGCTCAATACTCTGTAATAGCCTAAATGGGAAAAGAATTTGAAAAAGCATAGATACATGTATATGTATGACTGAATCACTTTTCTGTACACCTGAAACTAACATAACATTGTAAAGCAACTACACCTCAATATAAAATAAAAACTGAATTTAAAAAATGGCTTTTCATATCAGCAGAAGAAATACTGGCTTATTCAAAAATGGATATTGATACTCTTTTTCTTTTTTTTTTTTTATGGGTGTTGAATTTTGTCAAAAGCTTTTTCTGCATCTATTGAGATGATCATATGGTTTTTATTCTTCAATTTGTTAATATGGTGTATCACATTGATTGATTTGCATACATTGAAGAATCCTTGCATTTCTGGGATAAATCCCACTTGATCATGGTATATGATCCTTTTAATGTGCTGTTGGATTCTGTTGGATTCTGTTGGATTCTTTTTCAATACTATATTTGTTGATTCTCTATCAATATCTATGTAATTACACTGTTGGGGAGGAAGGAAGTTTAGATTCTTATTTCTTAGACTAGAATTCCAGATAGCCCAAACAGGTAAATGTAAAAATTAAACCAGAGAAACACTAGTAAAGCTGACAGACATCTAATCATAAACTTTAAAAAAGTGTTTCAACCATAGCAGTAGGCATTGGCATAGTAGGGTCAAATATTAAGAAAATATTTAAAAGAAGATAGTCTAAGGAACATGCTCTGCAAACATCTCAAGGTAAATTCTTATACAAAGTTAGATCTTATGCTTGGATTACCTTAACTTATATTCTACAATACAATGTTTTTATTAAGGTCTCTGCTAAAAACCTGCCACATAGAGGAACTTCTTTTTGTATTGTAAAATTATAGTTGAAGATACTATATAGTTTAATTCTCCAAAGAACAGGTTCCATACGATTAATTCCTTTTAGAATTTAGTAGCAGGGAAGAGTCCAAATCTTTGGAACCTCTTAGATAATACAAAATATACTAAAGTTTTCAGTTTTGTATTAGTGGATAGGAAGCTCAGGTATAAATTTAATGTCTTAATAATTAGCAAATTTGCTTTCTCTTCCCTCCAATATCTTAATTTTCTGTTCCAGATTTTTATTGTACACATATATAAAATGATATAATGATTCAAATCCATTTTGGAAGCAGATATAACAATAAAATAAAATTCAAGATCCCTTGTAGCAACAAGGGTTCTGAGCTTATATTTTCCTTATTGTTTGAAAAGGGAACACTAATATATTAGGAAACTAATACTACCCCAGGCCTAGACGGGGGCAAGTGGAAACGGAGAGCTATATGCAAGTTATGAAGGCAAAGCATAGAAACAAATAAACTTTGGTGACCAGGGTCTTACTCCTAACCACAATTACTATAACATAAACACCCAAACTGCAGCTAGAAAAAAAATGGAGATTTAAGTTTCCTTACTTTCAAAAAGACTGTGCCTCTCTAGAAGCACCCTCCTGCTGAGAAGTGATCAGCAGTTCAGAAGAACTTGCCTGCTACTTTGGCTTACTACATCTCCTCACTCCACTACTGGTTTGGCTACATCTTAGACATCTATAGTCTGGCTACACATAAAAAAACTTCAACAAGAAGACGCTGTGAAGGACTAAATTGGAATCATCACAACTGTCAAAAAGAAGAAAACTCCAGTTACACATATCTAAAGTTACTTTTTCCCCTGAATAATAAAAAATATAAATTCTGTTATATAGACACAGCTTATGTACATAATACTCTAAATCATAAACTACACTTTTCCCCTAGAACCATAACAAAAAACATTATGTTTTTAGAATTTTAGTTAGTTCCCTTGTCAATTAAAATGAAAAATTTCACTTAACATTTATTAATAATTTATTTTAAAGGGTCATTACATACTCATAGATTTTACCTCTTTCAATATCATCCATCGGAGATGCTGGGGACATCTTGTCTTCCGATGAAGAATGTTTTACAAGATTGGGAGTCCTAGCTGAATTCCGCATTTGTTGCTGCTGCTGCTCCATACGATATTGAATTTTACTGCTTCCTTCAACTCTGAAATTAAGAACATCAAAAGGTCAAAACAGGTATGATGATTGCAATATAACAACAATTTCAACTTACAAACCTACTAAAACCGACCACTTATTCTTTTTCCTAGAGATCTTTAAAACGATATTCAAGGATTAAAGCATTAATTTAATTCATTATTTAACAAACCTTTATTGAGCCCTGCTATAGGCATGGCATACACACAGATCCACTGAGGGATACAAATGTGAATTTAAAAAAAGCCACTGCTCAAAATTGAAGAGATAAGACATACACAAATGACTAAAATAAAATGAAATTATACATGAGTACAGCAGACACATTATATTCCCTAAATTCTGAAATTACCATTTCTGTTAAAATTAAATCACTCCCACATTTCTCATTCATAAGGTTAAGACATGTTATTAAAGGAGGTTCGTATACTTTCCCTTCAATACTTAAAAAAAAAAAGTATATAACACAACTATGCTTGACTTTGCCTCTCCCATTTCCAGTCACCAAATCCTGTTAGTTCTTCCTTCACAAAGTATTTAGAACTTCACTTTTCTCTTCATTCCTACTCTAAAAAATCGTGGTTTGTGCATTTTTCTCTTTCCCACATTGTTTCATTTAAATCAATTTGTTTGGTGGATTTACATTTCAAAACAAGAATGTAAGCATGTCGATCCCTGGTTAAAAAAACTTTAATATGCAACCACCGTCAATAAGACAATGTCCTAATTTCATAGTTAATATTGAAGGCAACCTACCTTTATAACCTTACCTCTAGTCTACTTTCAACCTCATACCCCACTTTCTATACTTGTATACAGGGAAAGAAACAAATCTCTGCTCTATTCTAGCAAGTCTTTTTCATAGGTTCCAAATAAGTCAGATATATTCCTGTCTTGTTTACATCCTCATGTTCTCTCTGATCAATTAAACCAGTATTTTCCAAACTTTCCTACAAATAAAAATCATCTGGGAAGAGGGGATAATTAAAAAACAAAAAAAAGTTTCCTGGGCTCCTTCCCTGATCTGTAGTTGAATTTGGGAACTCATTTGTTTAACAAGCACCCAAAGGCAATCCTTATCATGAAATATGTTTGGGGGAAAAAAAAGCCCTAAATCTTAACATCCTCTTAAGGTACATCAGTAAGGGCTCCCTGAATGCTCCAATGAACCATGTCTCCCTTCCTTTAATTCCTAGAACAATTTTTATCTATACTATGTGTATGGCTTTTAGAGTATACTACATGTTAATTAATGCACTGCCTATTTCCCCAAAAAAGAAAATTTGAGATGGCTCTGTTCTCTTATTGACATTTTTAATGGAATTATCTGCTAATCCAATTAAAATGTGGAAGTTCTGAGGTTAGTGTTTGTATAGGAAATTCTCCTTTTTCTTGCCTCACATTTTCTAAGTGCTTGATAAAATTTTACTACTGATAATGAAATTATTTTGGAGAATGTGTAATGGCTCCTTTTAGTCCAGTTCTACAAAAGTATCTACAGTAGAATAAAAGATGTACCTACATATAAGAAAACATTTAGAAACAAAACAAGCTTTTAAATATCATAGGGAGAAATGGTAAAAGCTTCTGGCTAAAGGATCTTCACCAAATTTAAACTTGGAAAAAGATCAAAACATTTTTGTACCAGACAGAAATAACCCTTATATAATAGTGTGACTTAATCCAATAACTTTTTTCATTGACATTCTCTTAGCAATTTATGTGTTGATTAAATAATTTATTTCAAGACTTCCCTGGTGGCGCAGTGGTTGAGAGTCCGCCTGCCGATGCAGGGGACACGGGTTCATGCCCCGGTCCGGGAAGATCCCACATGCTGTGGAGTGGCTAGGCCCGTGAGCCATGGCCGCTGAGCCTGCGCGTCTGGAGCCTGTGCTCCGCAACAGGAGAGGCCACAACAGTGAAAGGACCGCGTACCACAAAAAAAACCCCAAAATACAAATAATTTATTTCATTAACCACATACCTTGTTTTTTTTACAGTGATGTTGCTGCTGAGTTTTTCTAGTCGACATTCCCCAGTATCATGGTTAATAATCAAAATGCATTCTTTTAAGTAAGGTTTCTTTGAACCTTTGAAAACAGTTACTGGTGTAGTTGAACCCTGTTTAAAAAATTAATTATTATTACTTGAAATTTATCATAGAAATTCAGTTGAGAGGGCCTTTGAGATCTTCTGTCTTTCTCAATCTATTGATATACTGTACTTCAAGTCACCTAACTGCCTAAATTTACTACTCTGGCCATAAGGAGTATAGTAAAAAAGACAGATGAAGAGAGGCTGAGATCTCAAAATTGCTGTCTTGAGGAAAGGGAACAGAGGAAGCAGCTGCCCTGAGCCAGTAAAGATTTGTTTCACAAATCTTTGTAGACGTGGTCTACAATAGGAAATTGGGATTCAATTCTAATACAACCAATATACTTTACAATAAGGGAACAAAAGTCCTGAGTTATATTTCCTACCCTTCCTCTTCTTTCTTCCTAAATTTAATTTTTTAAATCTGGCATTTTATTAAAGAGGGGCTTCCCTATGCAGATTAAGGAAAATGAATGTATCAGGGAACATATGTTACATTAAACTCACTGATCAATTTTAGCATCCTTAAAAGTGGGACAATCAGACATTATGTGCTTCATGATGTGATATAAAAGAAAGTATGCAGCATCACCTATAAAGTGTTCTTGCCTGAAAAAATCCCCACAAAGAATCTAACTCTCACCAAGGCTTTAGAAATAACTACCAGTTTATAGGAAATATGAGGAAGGAGAAACAAATTACATAATCCCAGACAGAAGTAATTTGAAATCCAGAATGTGGGTATATTCTCTAGGACAATTAACCTGGTTTCTCCAACAAACCAGTGGCATAAAAGCGGGGAGGGACTTTTACAGAATAAAAGAGATAAGAAACATAAGAATACAATATAGGAATATAAAATAGGTAAACAACAAGGAACTACTGTATAGCACAGGGAACCATACTCAATATCTTATAATAATCTATAATGGAAAAGAATCTGAAAAAGAATATATATGTATAACTGAATCACTTTGCTGTACCTTGAAACTAACAGAACTTTGTAAATTAACCTCAGTAAAAATAAATAAATAAAAATACAATATAGGGATTTTATGTGGATTCCTAGGGAGAAAAACTGAAAAAAGACATTTTTGAAACCATCATGAAAACATGAATATGGACCAAGTATTACAATTAATTCTACTATGTGTGATAATAGCAGGGTTACCATGGTACTTAGGTGAAAATTAAAATATCCTTATCAGTTAGAGATGCATACATAAGCATTTGTGAATGTCTGCAATTGCTTTAAAATATGCCAGGAAAAAAGTAGGAAGCTCTATTAAAAAATGATTAGCAGGCTTCCCTGGTGGCGCAGTGGTTGAGAGTCCGCCTGCCGATGCAGGGGACACGGGTTCATGCCCCGGTCCGGGAAGATCCCACATGCCGCGGAGCGGCTGGGCCCGTGAGCCATGGCCGCTGAGCCTGCGCGTCCGGAGCCTGTGCTCCGCAACGGGAGAGGCCACAACAGTGAGAGG